TAATTATATATAGACTATATATATATTCTATATATATAAGGTCTATATTATATATATAATTATGTGGGTGTGGTGTGTGTGTGTGTGTGTGGGCGTATGTGGTGATGTGTGTGTGTGTGTGTGTGTGTTTTGTAGAGATATATATATACAAATATATATATATATATATATATCATAGTATAGATCTATATATAGTATGGACGATTAGATAGTATGATATAGATAATATCTATATATATGCGATAATATATATAGGTTATCATGTGTAGTACACACACACCAACACACACACACGACACACAACCACACACACACACACACACACACCACACACACACACAACACACAACACACACCCACACACACAACACACACACACACACCACCCCACACACGCAAACACACACTACACACACATCACACAATATATATTACAATACATATATATAGAGATATAATATAGAGACTATATATATATAGAGATATCAGAGACGGTCGAGACTGAGATGGGACACACACAATCTGCACACAGCCATACACACACTACACCATACACACACCACAAACACACATGCACAGACACACACACTTACACAACACACACACTTACACAACACAAACACAACACAACAAACAGATGGATAGGATAGAGAGAGATATAGATTAGAGAGAGAGAGCTAGGTAGAGAAGTAAGTAGATGTATAAGAGAGAGCGATAGGTGATGGAAAAAAGAAAAGTATATGAGAGATACCGACGATAGAGAGAAGGGAGAGAGAATAGATAGCTGAGAGAGAGTAGATATAGAGAGATAGATATAGATGATGGAGCGGAGATCGCAGAGAGAGAGATGTGAGAGAGAATGAGAGTAGAGAGACAGGGATGACAGAGAGGAGGTTAGAGAGAAGCGAGATAGCGAGAGAGAGATAGAGAGAGGAGAGAGGAAGAACGATAAGGATAGATGCAAGATAGTAGTAGATAGAGATACAGGATGAGGTGAGAGATACGATATAGATATTGAGATTTATAGAGATATAAATATAGATACGATAGTAGATATATTATTAGATGAGTAGATAGATAGTATATAGAGTACATATAGTGAGAGATGATATGATTGTAGATATAATACATATTTAGATATGATAGACTTTTATATTAGGGATGCGTATATATAAGAGAGGAGATGGATGATAGCGAGAGAGAGATTAGAGAGAGAGAGAGAGAGATAGAGCGCGGAGAGTGACAGAGGATGAGAGAGAGAGAGATGAGAGAGAGAGTAGAGTAGAGAGATCGAGATAGAGACACGGCAGGGAAAAGAAGAAAAAGTAGTCATATGAGATAGGGCGATAGAGAGAGAGAGATAAGAGCCATAGGAGAGTATAGATAGTAGTATAGATGATAGAAGTATTATAGAGAAGGATGGAATACGAGAGATATAAGATGATAGAGATAATAGAATAGTAGAGAGAGAGATAGAGAATAAAGCATAGTATGGATGAATGGATTATGAGATAGAGAGATGAGATAAGATAGATCGATAGCGAGAGATGAGAGGAGATAATTGAGATAACAGCGAGATAGATATAGGTAGATGATATAGATAGAGATAGATGAGAGAGATAGAGATAGAGAGCGCGAGAGAGATAGATCGATATATATAGCAGAGATCAGATAGATGATGAAGTACGGTTATTTAGATGTTATGCAGTGAGAGAGAGTATATAGGAGATGAGAGAGAGATGATGAGAGATAGAGAGAGATATGATAGAGGTGATATTAGAGATAGAGAATTGAATTATAGAGAGTACTGCAAGACACACACACACAACACACACAACAGAGATATACAGAGTAGAGAGTAGACGAGATAGAGAGATAGAGGCAGAGAGAGAGAGAGAGAGAGGAGAGAGGCAAGTCAGAGGGAGAGAGAGAGAGGGACTAGATAGAAGATAGACTGAGAGAGAGAGAAGATAGGAGGTGGGTGGGGGGGGGGTGGGGGGGGGAGGGGTGGGGGGGGGGGGAGGCGAGTGATGGAGAAGAGATGAAGATGGAGAGAGAGAGATGAGAGAGAGAGAGGAGATGAGCACAGAAGAGGAGAGAGAGAGGCCAGGCGAGTACGAGACAGAAGCGGCAGATAGAGATAGATAGAGCAGAGAGATCGGTAGAGATGAGATGCGAGAGCGAGAGGAGATAGAGATGATAGAGAGAGAGAGAGAGGGGATAGAGAGACGATAGAGAAGACGCAGAAAATAGAGGAAAAGTGAGGCATAAGAGTCAGAGACAGGACAGAGATTGAGAGATAGAGTAGAGAGATAGGAGAAGATATCAGAGAGAGAGAGAGATGAGAGATGAGGATGAGAGATATCGAGACAGTAGGTGGGAGATAGAAGAGAGAGAGAGAGAGAGAGATAGAGAAGAGAGAGAGAGACTATATGTTAGCTAGATGGGGATGCGTAGAAGAGTGAGAGAGAGAGAGAGAGAGAGAGATAGAGAGAGAGAGATGAGAGAGAGGATAGAAAGAGATAGAGAGCGAGATAGAGTAGACAGAGATAAGAGGAAGAGATAAGGAAAGAGAGTAGAGAAGACGAGAGACGAGAAGATATATGGTGTATGAGAGACGAGAGAGTAGATAGGAAGAGAGAGGGAGAGGAGATGGGGGAGAGGATAGAGAGACTTGACGAGATGAGAGAGTAGTAGAGACTAGAGAGTAGAGAGAGCGAGAGCGAGTAGAGCCGACGAGATGAGAGAGAGTGAGAGAGATACTAGAGATAGAGAGAAGAGAGGATATAGAGAGAGTCGAGGAGAGAGGAGAGATAGGAGAGAGAGAGAGAGACATTAGAGAGAGAGAGAGAGAGAGATCGTGATAGTGAGAGCTGAGATAGATATAGATTAGATACAGTAGGAGGCGAGAGATGAGAGCGATAGATGAGAGAGTAGAGAGTAGATAGACACGAGGACGTAGAGAAGTAGATTGTGATGAGAGCTAGAAGAGGTGTGGGGGGATTAAGTATAGAGGCGAGAGATATAGTAGAAGAGGGGATCATGAGAGATAGCTTAGAGAGATTAGAGAAGATAGAGAGGGAATAACGAGATAGAGAGTAGAGAGAGGAGAGAGAGAGGACGCATACACACGCACACACACATCACACACACACACAACACACACACACACACACACACAACACACACATATAGAGAGAGATATATAGAGTAATTAGAAGAGAGTAGATATCTAGAGAGACTATAGAGAGAGAGAGTACGAGAGACAGAAGGATGAGAGAGGAGAGATAGAGATAAGACTATAGAGAAGATATAGAGAGAGGAGTCCGATACCAGTGATACATATGACTCATAGAGAAGAGATAGAGATTCTGAGAGTATATTATTATATATATCGAGGATATATATATTAAAAATATAGAATTAACATACGATATAGATGATAGAATATATAGAGTATATTATAGTTAATATATATATAGTATCTATATATATACTATATATATATATATTATGGATAGATGAGTTATATATATAGATCTTATATATGCCTATACTATATATATATATATATATAGTAGATATAGATATATCTAATAAGTAGATTATATATGTATATGCATACATATACAGTAGTTTAGTATTATATATATAAATCATATATAAGATACTAGAGAGAGTATATATATATATATATATAGATAATAGTTATATAGTTTATACATATTTTGTTATATATATATATGTATATGATATATATATATATATATATATATATATATATATATATATATATATATATATATATATATATATATATATATACCACACACACACACATGTGATAGGAAATTATGAATTGTGCGTCATTCTGCTCTCCGTTATGTGACGATGAAGAATTTTCTTTTTTCTTTATCAATCTTTATTAATCATAATTTTCATTGTCTCTCTCTCGATCTATTAATTGTTATTATTATTACTATTATTATTATTATTATTATCATTATTATTATTATTATCATTATTATTATTATTACCATTATTTTTATTATTACCATTATCTTTATTCATCCTATGATATTTTGTCATTTCTATCGTTATAATCGTTATTATCAGTATCATTATCATTATTTTCATTATCATTATTATCATTACCATTACTATCATAACTTATCCTCATCATCATTGATTTTATTATCATTATCCTTATTGCTGTTATTGTTATTATTATTATTATCATTATTATTATTATTACTATCATTATTATTATTATTACT